CACCACAAGATGCCGAACACCCTTAGCAGGATGCATCGCACCCTTCATGCGACTCGCCGAATACCTCACGGCGCTTCGCGCTTGGTGATGTGAGAGCCTGGTCCGGTGAGAACCCGGCGTGCTCCGTCCCGGCCTTTTAGGGATGCGAGGTCAATGTTCTAACGACTACGGCATGCACGACTATGAGTACCCCCCCCCCCACTGGCACCCGTCCGCTCTGCCTCACCTCACGTCCGTGTGTGTTTGCGTTGTGTGTCAACAGACTGGGTCTCCTGAACGATATCTTCCTGCCTAAAGCTAGAGCGATCGCTGACGCGAGGGAGAAGAAAAAAAAAGCCGCTGCGGAACCTGCAACTACGACGACGGCGACGGCGGCGGCGGCGGCGGCGGCGGCGCCACTGCTGCTCCCGTCAGAAGCGGCATCGCCGGGAAGGGTAGAGAGAGAAGGAGTAGAAGGAATGACCACACCCGTGAAAGAGGCGCCGCGCGAGGCGGTGAAACACGCGGGGGGTGGCGACGGTGACAGCGGCGGTCCCGCCGACGGGACTCGGGCGGCAAGGCCGGAGGGCGACGACGTTGTCGACGCCGTCGCCGCTACGGCGGTGGCTGTCGCCGCCGTTGACGGCAAGCAGGAGGGTGGTGGTGGTGGTGGTGGTGGTGGTGGTGGTGATGAAGTCACCGGCGGCGGTGGAGACGAGCGTGAGAGATGCAGCCTGGTGGGTGAGGACCCAGCACGCCCAGCGGCGGCAACGGCCGGCCGGGCAGCGGCGGCGGCGGCCGTGGGGAACCGAGCATGGCTGCTTCCGCCTCAAGTGTGGGCGGCGATCGACAGCGGAGATTACGCTACTGCCCTTCACCCCGGTGGCGGCGGCGGCGGCGGCGGCGTTGGCGGCTGGCCTGGCGCGGGTTCCGCTGCATCAGCGGTGCCGGCAGGGAGCAGCAGCAGCAGCAGCAACAGCAGCGGCGGCGGCGGTAGCAGCGGCAAGAGTACCCGGGCGGGCGACGTGAGCGGATCAGTAGAGGACGACGACGACGACAACGACGCGCCAGCCGCCTCTCCTCCGTGCACCAACCCTTCCCCTTCGACGGCTTCCACGGCCTCGACAGCAACACCGTTATCGTCGTCGTCATCGATCACGACAACGCTAATAGCAACCAAGACCGTGACGACGGCAACGGTCGGCGCCGACGCCTCCTCCTCCTCCCCCGGGGATGGAATCGCAGCGTCCCCTGGTAGGGTTCCCGGCGGTCGGTTCGAGCTGGGGGAGGACGAGGTGGCCGCGGCGGGGCGGCTGTCGCCGGGGGACTTCTTGAGGGCGGAGGTGGAGGGGCTGGTGCTGAGGTGTGTCAACGCGGACCCGAACTACGGGTCCATGTGGTTCCACTGCCGGCATCGGCCTTCCGACACTGCAAAGTGAGTTGCCTGCTGAGCCGCAAGGCAAGGGGGGGGGGGGGGGGTCAAGTCTGTGGCACTTGTTTTTCATTGCTGCTGTTGCGTCTACTGCTGTGGTTGCTGTGGTTGTAGCGAATTATTTTATCGCTGCTGTTGCTTGCTGCTGCTGTTGCTGCTGTCCATGCTTTTGCTGCTGTGCGGCTCGCTGCTTTTGGGTTATTCGCCCCTAACGGAGGGAGGTGTGTTGATACCCCTTGCCTGCCGTCAACAGGCAACCTCTCTCCTGGTGCCAGACTTCACCCGCAAGACAAACATCCAGACCACAAACGCGCCCCACACACATGTACCCGTAGAGTATCTCCTGCATCGATTCCATTTTCGCTCTCCGCCTCCGCTTCTCTTCCTCTTCTTTGGGTATAGGTCCATCCTGATGATGTCCAAGGTGATGATGGCCGAGGAGCTCACCAACCTCCAGGACGTGTACCTCCACGCGGTCACGCGGCACGTCCTCCTCCAGCGGGAGGCGGACGCCTATCTCGCCTCGCGCAAACCTCTGGAAGAAGAAACGGAAGGAGAGGGGGAGGGAGAGAGTGCGCGGCGGCGGCGGCGGCCCCGCAGACATCACGGAGGGGGAGTGGGCGGCGGGCGTTCTTCCAGGAGGAGGGGCCGGAGGGAGGGGCGCGCGGAGAGGAGAGCACGGCTGTTGGAGGTGGCGGGTCGGCTGGCCCCCCCCGTCGGGTTCGGGGAGGAGGGGGGCGGCGGGCTCAAGAACATTAGGTGCGTTATTGTCGTTGTTGTTGTTGTTGTTGTCGTCGTGCTCAGGGGGCGGAACAGGCCCGAGGTTACGATCGAGTCGCCATCTGTCCTGGGCTTGCTGCCATTTTACCCAGCAGCAGGGTACGTACGGTGTGGTACATAAGCTGGACCGACTTTTCAATGCTCGATTCGTACGTTTTGGTTGTTGCTGACGTTACTCCCTGTGCCATGCCATGCCATGCTTGTTGCTTCTTGCAGGGCGGAGGACTTCGTGACGGGCCTGGCCAGCCTCAACCGCATCACGGCACAGATGGGCCGTCTCCGAAGCGAGGACCGCAGGAAGATTTTGTTCGGGTCCGATCAGATAGTGCCCTGACGCCACAAAGATGCTTCCACAGGGAGAGAGAGAGAGACGTGTGTGGTCTTGGCCAGCCCCCATCCCTCCTCAAGGGCGAGGCAAAATCCCTTCTATTCTTTGGTCGAGCCTCTTAAATTTCTTGATACCTTCTTGGTTCGATTTGTGGTGGTTCCGAGGCAGTTTTTTCTTTTTTTTTTTGAGGTTGTTGGGCTGCAGTAGGTGGGGTCTTTGTTTGGTGTGTCGATTGGACGGTACAGGCGCTGGCTAACGTATCGAGTCGGCTTTGTGTTGAATGTGAGTGCGATTCTTTGTTATATATATATATAAATATATAGACGTACGCCAAGACTACACTTTCCGAGGGTATGCATAAAAGGGCTATATATATGGCTTCCGCCGACAGATGAAGTCTTGTGATTGGTTGGTGAAGTGGCGTGGTATGGTAAAGGGCGGGGGACGAGCGAGTGTTGGTGCTAAGGTTCGAGTTGTGATGATCAGAGATGTTTCACTTTGTTAAATCACATGGACCGGCGTTTCTCTCTGTTATATGATGTTGTTGTACCCATTCGCGGCAGCAAATAGGTGGTTTGTACCCGCCCGACCGGCCGGCGCCAATTCCTGTTTCGATCTCTTTTCAATCCTTGCTCCTCTCGCGGGCGCGTTCGCTTACCGTCTTGTCTCCGCTGTTGGCAGCGAAGAGACAACCAAGTTCGCCTTGCGCCGTCGTGTCGCATGCGCTGAATAGCGTCGGTTTCGTAACCCGAGGGCAGGCTTCCAGAAGGCGTTTTCCTCCCTACCGAGCCGAGTGTTTGTACGGCCGGAGCTCCAGCCTTGCAGCTGCCCCCCCCCCCCGGGGGGATTGAGGGAGGGCTTGGTTGGGTTGGGAGAAAAAAACATCCCGTTCCTCCCTTCTCAACGACAGGGAGCCGCTTTGTCAGGGTGGAGTGGTTCTGCGAGTGGGTTGGTTGGGTTGACGAAAATGGGTGGGAAAAAAAAAAAAAGTTTTTTTCTTTTCCCGGGTGTTTGTGTTTTGATTTTGTTTGGGGGTCTGGGGGGGGTTTTGTCTCTCTTTTTTTGGCCCCCCTCCCCCCCCCCCCCCCCCCCCCGCAGCTTTG